AAAACAGTATTTGTGTTTGTGTGAATATATCATATCAAAACTCACCAATGTTAGTAACAGCAGTATCATTAACACATTGACTTTGTGGTTACATTCCTCGTGAACTCAATATCTCAAGAACAAAAGTTCACTTGGACTAAAAGATGAACTGATGAGATTGTGACATCTCAAAACACACTTTTCATTGTGAATGTAATATCTCTGGAACGCCTCCAGGGAATTCTTTTATATTTGACACACATGTTCACTTGGACTCACTGATTAACTGAGTAGATTCTGTTGGTCAAACACGTTTTGGCCTCTTGAATGTGACATCTCAAGATTGCTTGAGGGAATTTCTTCAACTTTTGATTATTTGTCACATGGACTCAAAGATAGAGTGATAACATTTCAATTGTCAAAGGTGAAGGTCAAAGTGACCTAATATGAATCTTTAAAAAAAATGAAGTAGAAATCTGGTTGCTGAGACATTCAACCACAGTGTGGTAATTATGAAGCTACTTGCTCCCAGGACAACAATGTCCCTCCTGTTTGTTTGTCTTGTTACCTTGACTTGAGTGGGCAGCAGGGATGACTGGTGATCCTGAGCTGCTGTTCCAGGTTGTGTACTGTAGGTCTCTGTCTCCTGACACTGTGGCAGCTGCTGTTTCATCAGCTCATCCACTCTCTGTCTGCAGACCTCTGCTCATGCACATACTGAAACTCTGAGATGCCCTCTCTCTTTTAGTTAATGCACCCTGCATTACAAACACAGTTAACATTTTGACTCAACATTGTATTGTGAGTGTAGGCAGGCACTGTACAGTATCATCTATTATGGACCTTATCACTGGTGTTATAAAAGCTTATGCGAATCACTGCATCTCTCTTGTCAAAGTGTAACACAAATCCACCAGCTACGTCCTGTCTCATTCACGCTCCTCTGCACATCTCCCAACTGTTACAAATCAGTGCGTGTCTGTCCAGAGGTCGTCTATGCTGGGCCCGGTGGAGAGGAACCTGGCCTCACCGCAGCATTTACAGTAGGAGAAGCCTGCAGGCTTAATTGGCATGGTCAGTGATGGAGCATATGCACTTTCCAGTGGGAGCCCATCTGACAGTGCCACTCGCTGATGACTGCCCACATAGGCTCCATATGTGGCAGACAGAAGGGCCTGAGTGCACACTGCCCTTCAACTAATGAAGCCAAGTCACCCGGATTATACCTCAGCCTTTTACAGCACTGTATCCAGAATCTGGAGCCAGAGCACCAACTCTCACAGTGTGTGCACCTTCTTCACATGCACACACATTAACATATATACAAGCATGAGGGGCAATTAAGAGTTGTGGAAGCATAACTGCTCCCTCACCTTCACTTACACACACACACACACACACACACACACACACAAATAGTGCTTTCAGATTTTACTCGGGATATGTAATTTCATTTTGGTCAAAGAGAAACAGCAACATTTTAGACAAACTTCAGATGCTCTCAGACAAGATTTAATTAAACTGATTTTGGACAGACAACAAATCTAAATGAATCAGGGACTAGAAAACAGAAACCACTTCACTATTGAGATAATTTTCAGTCCTGCAATAAATCTTATTCTAATAGTGTTTAGTGTTCATCTCTGTCAGGACTGTGGCAGAAGGGTGTTGTCAGTGTAGACCTTGTTGTGTTAGACAGTAAGTATATTTGAACAATTATTAATCTTAATTATATGCTCTGCATTTAAATGTGTCAACCCATGGATGTTGCAAATAGATGACATTTACTCACCATGGTCATATTTTAAGTGGATAAGCATGAACTGGTCATAGTAGATTCAACATGAACATGTTTCATGCACCAAAGCAAACAAAGCTGTCATTATCAAAACTTTGGCCAACGTCACTCACTGGGCTGGGCACTTTAAGTGAGACTGCATCTCTATCTGCAACAACAAATGTCCTGTCGAGATGCTGATAATGTTGTTGTTGTGGTGCATTGTGAGATGTCTCTTCAGGTTTGTGGTTTTGTCGCTGCCGAGTTTCTCTCCTGACGAAAACCACCTCACTCTTTGTCTCTGTGCTGTAATGTTTGAAGTGGGTTTAAACCTGTTTTGTTGCCTGCATGTTATCTGATCTCTTACAGCCATAGTGTTTAAGTGCCTAGCTAGAGTTAGTCCAGCACTGTTGGAGGTGTGTTCAGGGTTGTGCTGCACCAGAGAGATAAAGCAGAGAGAGAAATGAGATTTGAAGACAAGACATTCAAAGATATTTAGAATATGCCATTGTTTGAAACATTTGGGGTTTAACTGTCTCGTCTTTGAGTAAACAAAAATACACTTTTACCATTTTATAAGCCATTTTAATGAATGACAATGTTTGTGCTGCCCTGTCTCAGCTTACTCATGGAAAAAACGTATTTTATAAACATATTAAATAATAGTTGTCATTAAGGAAATTAACACAAACCACAGAGTGATTCAGAAAGGTAAAAACATAAGCGGCGCCCTTATCCTCACCTCCCCCTCTGTCCTTATACTCAGGTGCACACATGTAGACTCGTGGCAGAAAATGGTGTTGAGATGTGACGGGGAAGAGAACTAAGCAGAGGGAGAAAAAGAAAGTGTACGGAGAAAGAGAGAAGCTGTGTGGTGCGAGTGTGAATTCAGCCCCCAGCTGGGCAGCTAAATGGACTTGGTCTGTCATTAGCATGCAAAGGTCTAGCCCGGACATTTAAGGTTATTCATTCCCCAGGCTAACTCTCCCCATGCTCAAGACGCTCAGATACTTCCTGAATCAATGCCTTTTTACCAGTTGTTGTGCTGCTGGTTATTTTCCTGCAACACATCATCAACAACACTCCCAAACCCTGCCAGCCACAGGTCGGCCGAGTGCACCACACTCCCAGTGTTCTGGGGGCTGCAGATGTTAGTGCATACTTAATCAGTCTGATCACAGGAGTCCCAACCTCGCAATTTGATTCCACTACCCAAGGTGCATCTGTTCTTCTTGTACTCTCAGGAACCCCATGCTGGTTGAACCATTTCACAAAGTCACCCAGGTCATACAGTGGCTCGGCCGCTGCCTCAAAAACTTTGGATGTGTCAATGGCGGCATGGGAACAGTTGGATTTTGGTTTGACTTGACATTGTATAGACTGAGGTTGTTTTTTTTACGCCACGCACAGGGACATATCTGTGTGCATTGCCTTGCTTGTACATATTGCCGTTTTCCCGATAGCAAAGTTAAGATAGGATGCGCCAGCACATCACAGGAAATACATTATGTGAATAGACATTTCTACATTGGCAGCATCTCCTCTTCACACCCACATATCACCTGACCATTGTGCTGCGGGGTTGCAAAGGGGTCATCAGATACTGTAACTGTCAAAGCACCACAAAATGTCCCAGGGGTTTTGCACTCTCAAGGAGCATTATCAAAATGAGACACAACTCATGAGCAAGAGAAGCAAGGGCAACACACAAGTGTACGACTATAACAGTTGAGACTATATTAAAATGAAACTGCAGCATTCTCTCTGAATATTTTCCTGCCTCTTATGCTTCTTCAGAGTTTTATCCATTTCAAATACACCTCCAGTCACAAAGTAAATAGATTGTGAGTTTCCATGCTGCTTTACTTCTTTTATGCTCGGAGCAAAATGTGATGTTTCTGCCTCGGTTTTTCCCCAAAGACTTTGGCTGACCCACTTTCCCTCATCCCTTGCACCTTGAGGGTGTTAACGGAATGGGGAATATTTACAGTGGTGTGTTTAGAATGGATCTGATATGATTAAGTAATGAGTCTGGAATAATTAGAGGGGATTGCATTAAGCAATGCCGTGTATGGTTGTAAGCGTAGAAGAAACCTTGTTAAAGCCTTCAGAGGTTCAAAGTATGGTGTGGGTGTATAGATCTCTGGTGTTGAACTAAGTTCCATTCTGGAAACAACGCTTATTCAGTGATTATTGTCACACAATTAAAACCAGTCAAGATACCTTGATAAAAGACAAAATGTTATGATTGTGTGTTGTGGTTGCAGAGCTACAATATAGCAAACTATGTAAAGTGCAGTTTAAAATTTTGATTCCACAAAACACTTTAGGAGTCTCAGGGGTAAACAGTGTTGCAGCCAAATCCAACACAATTGAAGTACTGATGATCAATGTTTCAACAGCAGAAAAAAAAAATAACATCCCCCCATACTGCCCGTGTGGTGTCATCCAAGTGTCCGCAGGCTCCGGCCTTCAAATCTTCAAAAAGACGTCATTTACACTGAGTTTTAAGCCTAAAAGTCTGCAACTGGAAGTGGCAATGCTAGCAGATGTAATGATGTTAAACCACACACCGTGCGTGCCCTTGGACAAGAGCATGTGCACAGTGTGTGTTTGTGTGTGTGTGTGTGTGTGAAAGGGAATTTGGCTCCTTTATCCTGATAGCAATGTCATGCTTAACTGAAGTAAAAAATTATCCATAAAGATAAAATGTAGTAAAGTGCTTCTCTGTTTACTCAGTAACAATCCACAGTTTAACATTTGACTGTAGCTCCTTCAATGAATCCCACTAAGTAATGGTTTCATAGCACCTGATAGAAGAGTGACTGCCTCCTAATGTTTATCTTCATACACTCAGGTCTTAATGGCATTCAAGCATTGGATGGAAATGCGCATTATTTTTCTGGAAATTGTGTTGAAACGTGTGAAGCTAACTCGAGTATTTACACACAGATCCATTAAGTTAGACCTGGAGCACGTGGACCCATGTAGACCTCTAGTTTCATGCTGACACATCATTACAAAAGTAATCAGTCGTTTTGTCAGACACTCATAATGTAGGATTTTAACGAACAAACTAGGGTTCAACCAAATTGGATCGAAGTGTTTTTTCTATGATGATCACAAACAAACATTTGTCTCATGTCCATTCAGTCAATTTAGCAATGGAACTGTTTAACCTGCTCACCAGACATTTGATCAATAGGACTGTGTATTGACTGCAATGCTTGTTTTCCTTCTGCAGGTGATTTTGATGCTGACCAAACTATTTGACTTCAACCTCAACAGTGTGACTGAGAGTTCACTATGGAGGTAAGCTTATCACACTTTATATACTGGTGTTTTTAATCCTATGGTTTGAAGTGCTCCCAGCTCTGCTTTTAGGTATAAAGAATACCAGCGTGTGCAAGGATCTCATAATATGCATTGATGAAACATTCAAGGCTTGAAAAAGAGGCAGCAGTCAAATAAAGATCGCTCAAATGACACGGCTGAACTGTCCTCGATTGGTTTTAATGTCTGTGGGCAACACAAATCCCTCACATGAAAGTAACTAATCAACACCACTGGAGCTGGCAGTGTTATCCAGCAAATTACCATGACCAGCCTTGAACACAGCGTAGCTGTGCTTGGAGTGTCAGACTCGTTTCTGACTCGATTCTGATGTAATTTTGGTAGATGCCTGCTAGGGACGAATGTGGCTGCCTTAATGTCTCAGAAAAAACGAGAGAAAGATCTGCGAAAGTAATTATCATTACGAAATATATTTTTCATTATTATTGCTGCCAATGAAATGTAGCACCACAGGCATGGACAGCTCTGTCGAGGAAAAGACCTCAGAGGGAGAAAGAAGGATAAAAAATAGATGAACTGCGCACAAAAAACGTGATAGAAAGTAGACTTTTGAAAGGACTGTTGAGCCACATGATGTTTAAAGTCAGTTCTCAACCTGAAAGGATGATTGTTGTCATGCACTGCATGCAATAACTGGGAATTGTTATTTGTCAAAGTGAGAAAAAAAGCTATTTTGTGATTTTCCCAACATCTAATTTCACCTCTGTATCATTTGGCACAAACAGATGTCACCACTAAATGAATCTGTTTTTCCAACCCATCGAACAACTAAACCTCACTGAGCTCACCAGAGTTGCAGCTCTGATTTTTTAAATGAAAATATGTGGACAGGATAACATAAAAAGTTACAATGTGAACTGCAAAACTAAAATCAGAAATAAATTAAATATTCATCTTTCAACATCCACAAGAGGCTCAACGTTTGCACAAAGCTCTTCTGTTTCGCCAGTTTGATTTAAAACCTTTATTTTTTTAAAGCGACAATTTCAAAGTTTGCAAGGAAACCAGATGTGTCCAGTAGAATTATGAGGGAGACATGTATACAATAATGCACAAGACATCAAGAGGATTTCCAGTTGATGTGATGATGAAGCTGTTAAGATTTTCATCATCTTGGGTTTGAATGTTTCTCTTGGTATAAGCATCATGCAGCTTTGATGAAGTGTTGAAACTCAGTAATACTTGGGCTGCATATGATACATTGAGTGTCACTGTGTCTCTTTGCAGAGTGTTTAGAATTTAAAGAGGGGTGAGGGGTCATAGAAAGTTAAAATCATTAATTGCAGTTGGCATGTATATTTATATAACGCTTACATGCCCACTTCGGTGCAGTGGCAAACCTGTGTCATCAAGTTTACTTTGTCTTTGTACCTGTTGTGAATTTGTCTATCGCCAAACATTGTATTCCAAATGTTGTCTAGATAGATAAAGCAGTCCCAATAATAACAATTTAAAATCTGTCAAAGAGCCATAACTCTATACTGAGCTTTGTATTTGTCAGCATCATTTTTTATGTTAACCTGGAGAATCACTTGCACATCTGCTCATTTTCTCCCTGCTTGACAGCTTAACTTTCCAAGCTGTAAGGAGGTACGAACAGTAAAAAAGGAAATTGTGTGTTTGTACCTTGCTCAGAGTTTATTATACTGAAGTGTATGTAACAGAAAGGATGCAGGTCAATTCACGGCTGGAAGTGAAGCGACCAAATGCACCATGAGCAGAGGTATAATTATTATCTTGGGGTAATGTCTTCAAATTTGGAAAAAAAAACTTGAATTCAAGTAATTCTAGTTATTTAGTGTAATTAATACATTAGGTTTAAAATAGTAAAGTAAAAATGTCAAAGTGTATTTTATTTATTGATACCGGCTGCGTTCCCTAACCAAGTCATCAGCTGCGTATGTAGGAATAACTATGTAGTAACAGTGTAGTAAAAAAAGAGCTATTTGCATAACCTGTACTGATATCGTGTCACCAAGTTGTTTGCTCCACCATCAAATCAGCCTATACACTGACATAATTCTGTTAAAAACCAAATTGCACTCCTGTGGATTTTCTTATCATTCTCCCAAAATGTAACTTGGTCATTGCCTTGTATTGAGGAAATCATTTCCAGTGCATTCTCTGCCTCAGTCCCTAATGGAGGAAGACGGCAGCAGGGTCACACAGCAAACAACACATGGTTGTACACGAAGGCTGCCTCAAGGCTTGAGCTCTCACCCACAGCTGTGGCGATGCACTATTATATGACTGCATTTACATCATAGAGGATGGAGTGAGGCTACTGCTCTGTGTCTCTGATGATGTGGCCACATTGCCCTTCTAATGGTGCATCTACAACGGACATTTCACTCGTGTATTATAAATCCTGATGCCTTACGAAAGCAGAGCTGAAGGGGTGATTAAAGGTGCGTGTGGGTACCCGGACAGACCGACAGAAAGACAGATGAGTGAACAGATAATAAGCATTTTGAGAGAGCAGAGGGGATAATGAGAGCGCAGGACATTAGCGGGCAATATACAGCGAAGGGAGACGGGCGGAGCATCAGAGCAACAGATGACTGCATTTAAGAGACCCAACACTCCTCAGGGAGGGCTTGATTGTAAACTGGGCATCCCTGCCTGCTGTGGCTCAGAATATCAGCATAAGGTAACAACTGTCACATACACGCTACACTCCTTTTATATGTGATGTGGTTTTCACGCTGAGTCTGTCAGCACAGCTCGACGGATTCATGTCAGCTTTAAGCCGTCACTTTTCACTCTATGTTCCGTACACAGGCTCATAGCCTTTTGTGCTCTTGAACTTTGCCTGTATCCAAGTCTCAAAGAATCAGCACCTACTGACACCAAATCTGAGACCTGAACCTGATTCCAGAGTCCCTCCCTGAGTGTATAATCTTGATTCATTTTGTCCAATAGGGACCATTAGCTAATGCAACAGATCATTTTGTAAGTTCTCAAGCTTATTATGTAAAGTGCCTTGAGATAATATATGTTGTGATTTAGCGCTATACAGATGAAACTGAATTCAATACATGGTAATGCTACATTATAATCGATTCCTCCAAATTCTTCGACTCTGCCCGAATGCACATCAGTCTATGACTAGAAACTGTCAGTGAAGAAAGGGTTGCTCTTATCAAAGGACTATGCATCTTTAAGGAACAAAGTATTACAGCTTTTATTGTCAGTCTGAAAAGAATATCTGTGCGTATCAGCATACACAGCCTCTACCCAACTAGTTACCTGTCTATCAGGGATCTCTTTTCTTGAATCTTTGAACTTATTTTATTAAAACAAACTCTTGTAGACTGGAAGCGATGGAAGTTTGCCACCAAAACTGACAGGCAGGGACATGATTGACGGAGTTTGTGGATGTGGAAGGGAGAGTGGGAATAGTATGATTTAGCCTGCTACTCAGAAGATATACTATCGGAGCGTGCTGATGGTTTCATAAATTCATAGTGGAAGTGGAACGCTCAGCTCTGCTGCCATTTGTCCAGTGTGTCTCGCAGTGCTGCTGGATCCGTCTGTGTGTTAACTATCGCAACAGGCATGCAGCTCTCATCCTCCGAACCGTGGTGAATCAAACTCCCCGCTGATAATGTAAAGGCTGCATAGTAGCTACTCCTATCAACATATAGAACGCTGGACTCTGGAAATTATAATTGAAATTCTATCTAAGAATTGAGCGTCGACATTATTCGAATCCGTTTCAGAAAAAGTGAAAAACGGGATGAAACAAAGAAGTTTAAGGCTGAAGGCTGGATGTGAGTTTCAGCTCAGTTGTCCTCTGAGCAAATCCACAGTCTATTTTACGCTGTGAGCCATATCATTTTAATGTGAGTGATGTCATTCTTGCATGCTCGTACAATGTTTCACTCACACACACCCTTCTTTAATCCAACATGTGGACAGTGTGAAATATTGGCTCACCCCTGTGGAGCGAACATCCGCAAAACGGATGAAATCACAGCAGTGTGGTCCGAGCTGCATTTTACACCCACACATAATCACTGAATAGCCTTTCAACACGCACTATCAAGGCAGGGAGTCTTCCTTCAGATTCATCGTCCTTGAAAAACCATCATTTTCCATTTAATGTAACTTTCACCTCATTGGGATCTGCTGGGGTTGGGCCTTTCATTAGTTCATGCTGAAAATTGCTGTTGCACTAAAAGTAAGTCATTGGCCTTATAATCAAATGATTCTGTGAAGGGGGCCAATCAATAGCGTGATGCCATTGTCCAATGGTCCTGTGTGACGATGGTTTCTGATGAATGATGCTGGACTCATCCAGGGAAGGTTTGCCCGGGGGTCATGTTTTTGCTCCCCATTGAAACCAAACCGTCATAAATCAATCAATCAATCAAATTTCATTTGTATGGCCCATATCCACAAATCACAATTTGTCTCATAGGGTTTATTACATCCTCTGTGCTTAATCCACAACAAGAGTAAGGAAAAACTACCCAAAAAAAAAAACATATTAACATTGGAATAAAAAACAGATAAACCTCAGGGAGAGCGAGTGAGGGATCCTTCTCCCAGGACGGGCAGAAGTACAATACATCGTAAAGAGTCAATGCATGAAAAATGAATCCCACTAATATATGTTTGTCTTTATTCCTGTTTAAAAGCCACCTGAGATAATAAATAAAGATAAATAACAAAAACAAAGGCTGAATTGAGTGATGGCTTCATTTGAAGTCACTCGAGACATTCTGCAGTGTCTTTGCTGCATTTTTAAGATGGCTTTTTCCTCTGTCTTCATGGGAAATTAGAATACCTGCTTGATTGAGCCTCAGGCCGTTCGAAGTAAATTACACCTGACAGCTCAGATAAGTTGTTTAATCTTTTGGCGACAGTCTAAAATGCTATATTAGAGCAGAACACAAATTTTGCATTAGCACTTTAACCAACATTTGAATATTTTAGCAGTCATTCTAAGATGGCCTTAAATTTAGCTGTTTAAAACTGCTGTGTCATTCTGCTTTATGTGACTTAAGTTTATATACAAGAAATATGATGCATGTCTCCTTCCCAGCCTTGTCAGACAACCAGAGGGCGCTCTGAAGTGGATGTGAAAATGTAATTATAGCAAATGGTCACGTTAATAGCCAATAAAAGAAGCAGTGCTTGAGAAAGAAGTGAGATGGGGCAGAGACAAAGAGAAATGTGATCATTTTGGCAAGATAAAGTGTTCTGTAATCATTGACCTATTAATTAAATTAAATACTATTTGACTAGTAATCAATTCATATTTTCACAGTGCTTTGGAACAAAGGTGTGCAGTTCCTGTAAGAACACACTGTCTCCATCAGATTAAACATAAATACATTACTCTCCCATTGTCCAGCCTCTTTAGCAAAGCTACATGCCCAGTTCTGCATAATTATATTATTTATTGAACACGTTTTTACTACAAAATGAAATGATACAACAGGTAGTTGAAATACACGTTTAGGCACGAGGAGCCTCGGACATTAAACCCATTCATTCATCTTTTAAAGGATGGTCCGATGAGAGCAGTTCACACTTCAGCTTCATCATTGAATAGCTGATACTATACTAACACTAATTGAATTGTGTTAGTATTTTCTTTCACCTCATGGTCCACATGTTCATGTTCCACTTGTTGCCTCAGTGCTTCCTTCAGTGTTTCTCCAAAGACCTGTACAACATTTCAAACCTTGGGTCCCTCTTCACCACCATATTCAGGATGTTTACGCTCCTGCATGAATACCACCAATGCTCCCTGTAAAGTCTATTTGTAAACTCTATCTGGCAAAGAGGGAGTTTATTTCTAATGCCTTCTGCTTTGTGACATGTAAGAACTAAATGTTTTGAAGCATGTTCAGATTTCATTAATGATATTAAAATAGTTGTCACATCTTTTGGGTCCATGTTGAAGTTGAAGTCATATTATGAGAATAAGATGTAACATTACGAAAATGGCATGATTTCATGAGAATAAGGACTTAATTTTAAGAGAATAAAATAATTTATGGGGATATTATCAAACCCTTTTGAATATCACACAGATCTAACCATTTATACAGTCGACCACTACTAAATATGTCCTCCTCCCTTCTCCAAGTCTGTGTGATTCTAATATGGCCTAATGTGGTTCTGATGTGCCAAAATATTTAGACAGTAGCTAAAGATGAACTTTATCCACAGCCAATGTGTTTGTGTATATTATACAGTACACAAAGCAGCCGAAGCCGCTCTGATGGTGTGGCCTCTGTGAACCCGCTGGACTTCACTCCATTGCGCACAAAAAGACATAATTACATTGGTGCTCTTTCCCCTTTGCACCTTGAATTCTTGAGTGAGGACTTTCAATTGCAACATGTAATTCACCAAGCATTCATCACACCTTTCTGACTTTATTCCAGGTCAACCGACTATGGAGCAACGTACCAGAAGCTGAATGACAAAGTCGGCGCAAAGACAATACTAAGTTACTTGTATGTGAGCCCGAACAACAAGAGAAAGGTAATGTTGTTTTCCTTATTTCATTGTCTTCACTGTTGGTCCCATACACAGTGTGCAAAGTCAAATACAGGCAGACATACTGATGCTGTCTGACTCATCGTTCTCTGTTTGATTCCTGTCTCTCCCTCTGTTGCTTTCTCCAATGTCCTTAAGATGCACAGAGCAGTATTTGTGCTGGCAGCACAATAAATAATACATTATCTAGTGTCTTAAATGAATAGCCTGGCTAGTTTTTTTTTCTTTCTTTCTTTCCAAAACTAAATCAAACCAGATGAAAAGGAGCAAAAGAAAAGAATGGCCTCATTCCTGAGCTGTTCCTTCAGTTGGTCTCCTTGCATTTCAATTGACGGTTATAACCGTCCGTCTGTGCTCACTCCACAGCTTCACCTCGTTCTCTTCACATGACTCTAATCAGCAAGGGTCATTTTCTCCCAGTTAATTATTGTCTAATAATGAGTGTGAAAAGTAGTTCTACCTTTTGTTACGAATCCCAGACACCCACTGGAATGAGATGGAGCTACTGAGCAGGATGTGAGCATACAGAGAGACACGACTACACAGTGAGGCTGGAGGGCTGACGCTTTTATCCAAAGTGACTTACAATTACAATTTGTGCATTCTGCAGCTATGAGGGGACAGTTTTGGGGTTCAGCTTGCCCAAGTACACATCAGCATGGGCTGCGATTCGAGCCGCCGACCTTCTGGTTGGAAGACAACTGCTCTACTCCCTCAGCCAGAGGGTTATTGTGATCATCAAAGATTGTTCATGATTACCTACCTGTTGTGTGCAATCTCATTTCTCAGCTGACAACGATTCTGCTGCATTTTAGTTCGGGACTTTAGCTGCATCAAAACAAGCACTGCTATTTTCTCCCTCGACCAATGACAAAGCAGCGTTACCTCACATGATGCAGAGAAGCCGAAATTTGCCAGTGAAAATAAAGCGAGTGAGAGAGAAGCAGTAGCTAACCCCATTGAATTTCACTCTGTGGGCTTGTTTTTGAGGAATGTGAACGCTGAAGAAGAGTCTTACTGAAGTTAACCTGGGAATGTAATGATTGTGATGACCAGGTATCTTTTAATCAGAGGATTTCTCAGCTGGTTTGGGGCTGGATGAAGCTGCAGAGCCACAGCTCTCAACACATGCTTAAAATAAATTAGAGGCAGCACATCAGCAAACGGAGTGTTTCCTATTTTTTCTGCCCTCAAGTCCATTTAGATCAATTTATTCAGTTTCTATTGCAGCTCTGGTCCATTAGGGGGTTTGAGATGTGTTTTGTCTTTTGTTCATGTCCATTTTGCGTTCATGTATGACTGTCCATGTCCAAAGGCCCCACTTTTCACACTGTGGGAGGGTTTGTGGCATCCATCTTGGTTTCAGTGCATCTGGAGAAAGCATCGACAATAACAGCATGAACTTCACCAGAAGCTTTTAAGTGCCTTGTAGATTTTACTTAGTCATTGTTAGGCCACACACTTTGGTTCAATATCATTCACTCACAGTTTTGATTGCCCCCATATCCCTCTTTTAGCTGTACCCCTCCTCTTGCCTGAGAAAATAGTGTATGTTTGTGTGTGTAGTAGTTTTGGTTACCTCTTAAGACCTTTCCTGCAAAAACACTGACCTTGTCAGGACCAGACAACCTCATGGTGATATAACCCTGGTCCTAATGAGGTCAAATGTCATTTCTGAGGTCCTGGTTAAGGTTTGAGGTAAGACATGATTTCTTGTTAGGTTGGGGTTTGGCATAAATTGGTTGTGGTTAAGGTTTGGGATAAGTTTTTAGTTTGGCTGTCCACAATTGAAAACCAATGCAAAGTCCTAATAAGGACAGCTGCACAAACTTCTTCTGTGTGTGTGTGTGTGTGTGTGTGTGTGTGTGTGTGTGTGTGTGTGTGTGTTGGTGGTGGGGTCCACCTCCAGCTGATTACCATGACGCTGTACTCTGGAGCCTCCATGACATTCCAACAAATGGCACCCAGTGAAGTGAAAGGGAGGCAGACTGAGGAGAAATGAACTCCTGTGCCATTGCTTGTGGATTAGTTTAACGGTGCATTTTGTGTGACACCTTGAGCCACTGAAGAGCTTTTCAATCTTCACCAATGAGGCCACTCTTCAGCTAAGACAGTAAGAAAGTGCATGAGCCTTTGGGTCCAAGAAAGGCAGCTTGCCCAACAACACGAGCCCTTCATTCGAACACACAGAGCGGCGAGAAGAGCTGCCTAACACATTGCTAATAGCTTTTCACACTCAGGGACACACTCTCTACCTCACACAAAGACCCCCCTCCAAAAAAATACACACAGATCCATCAGGCTCTTTGTGTCTGTCGGATTTCCTCTCGTCTATCTCCCATCATTTACATTCGCGCGCAGGTTCGCATGCTAATTATTTTTGTCTCACACATGTTCACACATACTCTTTGAGGCCTACTTCTGGCTCAGATTCATTGTATCCCCATTGTGCCAATGCATGACATTTGTGATGATTTACAAAAATATAAAAACAAAGACAAAAAGTCTACAGCTACACTAGCAACCCCAGAGGCTACATTAATTTGATACAAATAAAATAAGCTGTTGGGTGGATGGAAAAATCAACACAACCTTGCTGTTCTCAGGTGATTACTAAAGACTGAAAAAGTGGCATCACAGACGTGATTTGTCAGGCTCATTTTTTACCTTGTCTTATTTTTGTTGAACTGAGCCTGACAAGCTGAGCCTAATTACTGCATGTTCAAGTCACATTAGTCATTGTGGAGTTATGCAATTATAGTTTCCAACTTGTAAATACTCTGCTCTTTCTCTGCATCAGCACAGATCGGAATTGGTGTAAAATAATGCAGACATGTCTGACAACCAACCAAAGTTTTCTTCACTTTCTGCACTTGTTATAGTTTTTTAGATGGAATAAATAAAACTGCCATTTAAGACTCTTAACTTGAACTGAATAACCCACAATGACAAGTGAAAACATGGCTTATTACATTTAAAGACATCAGAGCAAATCGATTTAACATCAAAAACTGAAAGATCTACTTAAAGCAAACGAATTTCAGCAAATAAGATAACAAGTGTTTGTGACCTTTTTCAGAAAATCATCAACCCTATGCTTTAAAATATTTCTTCTGCTAAGTTTTTTGTCATCAGTATTCATGTACACAAAATAATATAACATACTTTGCTTTGTCATTGTGTTATTATTTTCCAAGTGGCAATCAACTAATCAATATTAATTACATAATATGTTTCAGAAGGCTGCTGTGGAATTGAAATCTGTAGAGAAGACTGACACATGCAGATGAACTCACTCTCATAGAGTGTGTGTGTTGAGAAGAAATATCTTGATAGAAAAGTAAAATTGTTCCAAATAAAAATAAAGATGGAATTTTCCTGGATAAATAATAAACTCTTTCAGAGAGAAGAGCTCAGGTCATCTTAACAGTCCATAGATTTGTCTGTGACTCTTTTATAAAAAAGTCACAGACAGGATCTTAGAATTCATCAAGCTTTATCAATATTGAACACATCGTGTGTCCATTTAATTCAACACTGTACTTTCTTGGGCCATTTGCAATACACATGGCAAGTGTGAAGCTGATAAGTTGAATGGTTCTTGAAATTTGCAACCATATACAGATAAGACAAGATATCAGGTTCATGTATAATTTATACCGTGCAGATCAATGTTAATATGTGCACATATGCTAATGTCAGTACATACGTTTTGTTTTTTAAATTTTTTAATTATATTAGCATGTTGTTAGCATGCTATGGTGGCTTTTATCTCTGACAAACCTTGGCTGATATGAATTTGGTGATCAGTTTTTTGGACCAAACACTTTAAAGTGTAGTGCTACATGAAAGTTAGGAGATCAGAAGTATTTACACTGTGTCGTTTTCTCCCCTTTAATCCTACACTGAAGTGTTAGACTGACAGATGGATGGACAAGCAGTGTCACCCATGCTGCTCATGTAGCAAAAAATTAAAACAGGAATATAAAATATAGAGAAACAGATTTTGGAATCAAACACAGGGACTTTCTCACACTCAAACACGCTCTCTCTCTCTCTCACACACACACACACACACACACACACACACTTGATGTCTGCTCTTCCCTCCAACATGCGGTTATTTCCAAGTTCACATACGCATTCTTGTGAGGGAGGATAGCAGAGACTGCAGGTTCTCCACTGTCTCCCCCGCCATGGCCCCATGTGACCGCTGCTGGTGGCGTACAAAAGCCCCTCTCTTCACACGGTAGTGGAAGTAAATCAGGCTTCGGTGGCTGTGGGGGAGAGAGGGAGTAAGCACTGGAAGATGGAGAGGGAGGGAGAGAGAGGAAAAAAAGAGAGGGATTGTGCAGGAGATACAGAGGTGGGGGGTTAACAAAAGAATGACAGAGTAAAAAAAAATGGAGGGATGGCTCAGGGGTCACCCATGGAGAGAACAGACTGACAACACAGCAATTACATCAATTTTCATATTGTGGCTTCACACTGAGCATGTACATGAGAGAACACATCCAAGTACACATTAGGGGAAATGACTTTAGGCTTTAGCCCGGAATTGTGTGTGAGAGCACATTATTACAGTAAATGGCTTGGGATGGTGTGTGCTGATAACAAAATACCCTCACAGATAGTTGTCGTATACAAATCGTTATGGTCTCCAACGGTTTGAAAACAAAGAGGAATCCTCCTGGAGAAATGTTGATGTGAACCGTGGACTCAGTGTGTGCCGCTTTACTGCTTTTAGTCCTTGACTTGTCTTTAAGGAATACATAACTGATGTCTCTCATGAATGTATTGACTTAAGCTACAATCAGGGGACTCAAGGGTTTTCACAACAAAGGTCTCAATTGTGTTAGTGTGTGTCTCTGTTTGCGCACGTGTGTGTGTGTATACACGTTTTTCATGTACAGTGTTCAAAAACAATTCAGGCCCCATGCGGCTCAGACGGCACAAACAGGCAGGTGGGTGGAATATGAATCCAC